ATACCCAACCCAACAAAACCCCCCCATAACATACACCATCCAAATTACCCCCCAAATCCATCCCCATCCCCCCCCTATCCCCTAACCCCCCCTATACCTAAATATCAAATTAATCAAACTATAAAATATATATCCCCATCAATATATCTAAAATCAAAAAATAAACAAATAACAAACAACTCTACCAAACAAACAATACCCTCACCCCCCCCCACACCCCCCCTACCACTACCACCCAACCCCCCAACCCCCCATCAAACACCCAACCCAACCCACCCCCCAAACAACCCCCCCCCCACCCCACCAACCAACCCCCCCCCCACACACCCCCCACCCAAAAACCCACACACCCCCCCCCCAAACACCCCCCCCCACCCCCCCACCACCAACCAAAACAACCACCCAACCCCCCCCCACCCCAAACTCCCCACCTCAACCACCCAAATCACACAACCCCCACCCCCATCCCCCACCCCCCCACCACCCACCCAACACCACACCAACAACACCCACACCCAAAACCCCAAATAAATATACATTTTCCCCTACTCCCCCCCACATACCAAACCCCTCCCTTTCTCCCACCCTAAAACCAACCCACCCAAACACCAAATACAAACACATAACACAAATACACCCCCTTTTCTTACCACTCACTCCAAACAACCTCATCAACCCACACTACTCCTCACACACCCCCCATCACACAATCCCTCTCACTCCCCATCTCTCATCCTCACTCTCCCACTACTTACACCCCCTCTTTTACCCTAAACACCACACACACCACAACACCACATAACCACACACACAACCAACACAACACCACACACATACACCACCAACACACCACAACACCACACACACACCACACACACCACACAACCCCCAACACTCCCACACAACACCACACACACACCACACCCACACCACACAAACATCTACTACACCCCTCTCTACATCTCCAACACAACCACACTCACACCCCCCACTACATACCAACATCCTCTCATCTCCCCTCACACTCACCCACTCTCTCACACTCAACCCCTCTCTCTCTCCCCAACACAACACCAACAACCCACACACACACCACACTCAACCCCACCACACAATATACAACACCACCCATACAAACATATCCCCCCATACCACAATCCCCCCCCAACCACCCCCACTTACACCCAACCCCCCACCCCAATCAACCCCAACATACCCACACCCACCACCAACCAAACACCAAACCCCACCCCACCAATAACCCCCCACCAAAAACACAACCAACCACAAAACCCCCCCATCTCCAACCCCCACCAACCCACCAACACCCCCACACCACCAAAAAACACCCACCCCCACAAAAAACCCCCACCACACACCCCCCACCCCAAACCACCCCCCCCCCCCCCCCCCCAACACCAACAACACCACCACAACAACACCCAAACAACAAAAACACCAACCACAAAAACACCTACACAAAAACACCAAACCACAACCTACTTCCCTACAACAAAACCACCAACATCATACTACACCAACAAACTAACCTACCAACACAAACCACCCAACAAAACAAACACCCAACCACATTAACACCAAACCCTCTAAACACATACATCATACCAAACACCTACAACAAAAAACAAAACCACACCCAAACCACACCATCAACAACATCAACCCTAATCAATTACACCACCACAACAACAACACACCCTTACCACAATAAAACTACAACACATACACCACCTTCCACTCCATACTCACCCTTCCAACTTACCCCCCCCCCCTCCCATCTACATACTCCCCTTACCATCTTATAAAAAACCCTCAACCCCCACTCACACAACAACAACAACCCCCCCCCCCACACCCCCACCCAACACCCACCATCAACTCCACCAACCCAACCATCCCACACCAATCTTCCCCCATATCCAACCAACAACCATTACCCCCCCCCACCACCCACCCACCAACCCCCCAACAAACCCCAACCCCACAATCCCCACCCCCCCCCATCAAAAACCCCCCCCTATTTAACAAAAACCCACCCCAACAAAACCAATACACCCACACCCACCCCCAAACAACATATTCAACCCTCAACAACCAACACCCCCCATACCCCACACTCAACACACCCCCCCCACAACAATAACCCCACAAACACCCAACCCCCCCCCCCCCCACAACCCAAAAAACCCCCACAACACCCAACCACCCCACCCAAAACATCCCCACCACCACCCACCCCACCCAACCAACACAACACACCACCACCAACCCCCCCCCCCCCCACAAACAAACCCAATCCCAACAAACAAACACCCCACCCAACACCACCCACCAAAACACCCAAACACCACACCCCCCCCCCCAACCACACCCCAAACCCCCCCCCCCCCCCCCCCCCCACCCCCCCCCCCCCACCCCCAAAACACCAACCCACCCCCCACCCCCCACAAACCACCCACCCCCCACACCACACACACCCCCACCCCCCCCCCCACCCCCCCCCCCACACCCACCAACCACCCCCAACACAAACACCACCCCCCCACCACCCCCCCCCCCCCCCCCCCACCAACCCCCCCCCCCACCCACCCACCCACACAAACAAACCCCCCCCCACCCCACAACACCCCCACCCCCCCCCCCCCCCCACCCCCCCCCCCCACCCAAACAAAAAAACCAACAACCACACACCCACCCCCACACCACCCCCCCCCACACACCACCCCCACCAAAAAAACCCAACACAACCACCCCCCCACCCCCACAAAACCCCCCCCCCCCCCCCCCCCCCCACCCACCCCCCCCCAACCCCCACCCACCCACCCCCCCCCACAAACCCCCCACACCACAACCCACCCCCCACCAACCCCCCCCCCCCCCCCCCCCCCCCCCCCACCCCAAAAAAAACCCCCCCACCCAACCCCCCCCCCCCCCACACACCCCCCACCACCACCCCCAAACAACCCCCACAAACCCCCCCACACCCCCACCCACCACCACCCCCCACCCACCCAAACACACCCCCCACCACCCCCCCACCCAACCCACCCCACCCAAACCACCCCCCCACACACACACCCCACCACCCCCCCAACCCCCAACCAACACACACTACACAACACCACACCCCCCCTCACAACCCAACCCCCCCCACCCCCACCCCCCACCAACACAAACCACCCCACCCCCCCAAACCCAACAACACCAACCCCAACCCCCCCACCCCCCACAACCCCCCCACCCCCCCCAACACACAACCCTCACCACAACCCCCCCCACAACCCCACCCCCCAACCCACCAACACCCCCCCACACAACAAACCAACACAACCCAAACACCACAAACAAAACACACCCCCCCCCCCAACCCACCCACAACCCCCACCCACCCCCAACCCCCCCACAACCCCCCCACCAAAACACCCAACAAACACAACCCCCCCCCCCAACCCCACCAACCCCCCACACCCCAACCCCCCCCACCCCCCCCCCCCCCCAACAACAACAACAATACACCACCCACCACCCCAACACCCCCCCCCACACCACACCACAACCCCCACACACCCAAACCCAACACCCACCATCCACCAACACACACACAACCACCCAACAAAAAAATCCCAACCACCCCACACCAAAACAACCCAACCCCCCCAACCCCCCCCAAACAACCCCCACAACCAAACCCAACCCCACAAAACCCACCCAAACCACCCCCCCCCACACACACCAAAAACACACCCCCCCCCACACCCCACACCCCCCCCCAAACCCAAACCCCACCAACACCAACCCCAACCAAACCCCACCCCCCAACCCCCCCCCCACAAACCCCCCCCCCCCCCCCCCAACACCAACCACCCACACACACCAAACCCCACCCCCCCCCAACACCCAACCCCCCCAAACAACAAACACAACACCCCCAAACCCCCCCCAAACACCCCAACCCCCCCCAACAACCACCCAAACCAAAAACACACCCACCCACACCACTCCCCCCCCCCCCAAACAACACCCTCCAACCCCCCCCCTCCAAACACCCCCCCCCAAAAACCACCAAAACCAAACACCCCCACCACCCCCCCACCCCCACAAAATTACCCCCCCCCCCCACCCCCCCACCCAAAAAAAAACCCCCACCCCTACCCACCCCCCACCCCCCCACCCCCCCCCTAAAACACACCAACCCCAAACCCCCCACTAACCACCAACCCCCATACACCCAACACACCACAACCCACTACCCACCCAAACAAACCAACTATAACAACACACAAAACCAAATCCACAACAACCCCAACCCCACCCCACAAACAACCAAAACCCCCCACACAACACCCACAAATACCCACCAACCACCCCCACAACCCCCCCACCCCCACCCCACCACTACACAACCCCCACCAAAAACCCCCCAACCCCCCCCCCCCCCCACCCACACCCCCCCCCCCCCACACAAAACACCCCCAACACCCACCCCCCCACTCCCCCCCCCCACCCACACCAACCCCCCAACCCACCCCACCACCCCACCCCAAACACACCAACACCACCCACCCAAAAACCCCCCCCACAC